AAACCATTTCAGGTGACTACCTCTTGAAGCTCATGGAGAGAATGCCAAGAGTGTGCAAAGCAGTAATCAGAGCAAAGGGTGGCTATTTTGAAGAAACTAGAATATAAAACATGTTTTCAGTTATTTCACCTTTTTTTGTTAAGTACATAACTCCACATGTGTTCATTCATAGTTTTGATGCCTTCAGTGAGAATCTACAATGTAAATAGTCATGAAAATAAAGAAAACGCATTGAATGAGAAGGTGTGTCCAAACTTTTGGCCTGTACTGTATATATATATATATAAGCGTATTGCTGCCACATCAGGAAAAAATTTTGGATCAGTATTACGTTATAACGTAAAGTATAGTTTCATGTAATAATGTGATAATTTATATTGTAAGAACATAAAAGTTTGACGTTATAACAATATAGTTTCATGTTATCCGTGTTTTGGGCCATGTCAAGGTCAAGGGTATAAACCATTTCTAAAGCCTTGAGTGTTCCAAGAAGCACAGTGGTCTCAATAATTGTAAAATGGAAGTAAAAAGTTCAAAACCATGTCACAGCCTCTGCTGCAGCTTCCTCTCCCTCCTAGCCAGGAGCTTCCCTCCTCCACTCTCTTGCCCTGATTACTGAAGTGTTGTCTGGTGCGCAGGAGTCACCGCAGCTTCTCATCATCTTCAATCAACTCAGCTTCAGATACCAGGCTCCAACTCTGGCACGCCACCAGATCGTCAACTCTGCTAACTAGTCAGTCACGTTCCGGCCATCTTGTTTATCCTGTGCTTTGATATGCTTACTAATACCTGTTTTCCTGTGCCTGCAGGCCACCTCTTCTCCACCTGGTAATCCACTGCCATCACATCAGCTCTCCCCCTGCACGGACACTCCTGCTAACAAAGAACCCACCTGGACCCACATCTGCTCCTCTTCACCTCCCTGCCCTGGAACCTCTTGGCCACCTACCCTAGCCCAGCTCTCCTGCTTCACTCCCCAACATCGGACTTTGCCTCCCAATGCTCCTCCACTCATTTTATCACCAATAAATCACCCACTAGATCCTGCTCCTAGTGTGTGTTTTATCTGCCTTTGGGTTCACTTGCCTTGTCATGTAACAAACTGCCAGGTTCCAAGAGAGGCTTTGGTCAGGGAGGTGACCAAGAACCCAACTATCACTCAAAAAGAGCTTGGACATCCTCTGCAGAGATGGAAGAACCTGCCAGAAGGCTGACCATCAATCAGGTCCTTTTGGTGGCATGGCTATAGACTGAAGACACTTTTGAGTAAAAGGCATATGACAACACACTTGGGGTTTGCGAAATGACATTTAAAGGACTCTGAAAGCATGAGGAAAAAGTTCACACATGCTTCCTATCCAATCTGATGGAGATCTGCCAGGAAGAATTGGATAATAGTCCCGAATCCAGATGTGAAAAGCTTGTAGGCGCTTACCCGAAAAGACTCAGAGGGCTTTCTGCATAAAACTGACATTTCCTGATTTCACCCTGGGAATGAGGCGGGTAACAACAGAAGATACTGATAGCCAAGGGATCAACCCTGCTAATGTGACTAATAATGTTCAAAAACTGATGGTCAGTATTTGCCCTGAAGTATGAAAACTGATGTTTTCAGATTGAGTGGAAAAATATTCTTACAGATTGTAGATACCAATTTATTAAGAGGATTAAATGATCCCTCAACATGCAGACTGGAAGGAGATTATATTGACCACCATTACTTACTGCTATACATGCAATCATCTCTTTGCATGAGAATCTCTATATAGTTTCTAGCTTCCCAAAACTGGTATAACCGGTGTGAAAGGGCACTTATGTCAGAGGAAAAGCAGGACAGAGTACATTTCCAGCATTGTTTTTGACATTTTCTAAGAGAAAAGACTTGGGGGCTTGGGAACAGGGTTTGTCAAGTTGTATTTAAAAAGGTTTGTGTCTGTGCTCTCTTCACAAATTCCTCTCTGCCTCCATCTCAACATCTCTACTTCAGAAAGTTTTCATACAATCTTGGTAAGAGGAAATGTGTTTTTTAAATCTTATTTTATGCAGCAATAATGTTTTAGTAGTTGATACTTGATACATAGCAATATGTGGCAGGAGATACATGAGGAAGCGTTTGGGTGTGGTTTGTGTATTGTTTGGGGTGTGACGTCTAATTGGGATTAACATGTCAATCTGTAGTGAGATTTTACCTGTTCTAATTTGAATAATATATCTCATAGCAGCAATTGCAAATTTGGTGGGATTACAGTAAATCAAGTCAACCAAGAATTCTAGAGGAAAACCAGTTAGTAAGTAGACAGTGAGTAATAGTGCCGAGTCAAAGCCATTCAGCGGGAAGCAGCGTCTAGATGCCTTGAATTGTTTACGAAACTTTTAGAGACTTACGTGTTACACCAAACCGCCAACTTGTTTCTCTGTTGCATTGACTGTACTTGATCATTGTTTAAACCAGTGGTCAGGAGAAATGTTGTATGTACGCCTGACGGACTGAGAAAGATGACAAGGACAAGATTTAAAGTGAAGGAAAATCTGAACTTTTGCTTGTAATAAATATTTTTCTTTGATTCATGACAAATACGAGGAAATGTGTTGGGCTGTAACATTTCTGATCTGAGCAAGCGGCTCATTCAACTCCTCCCAGTGTTTCAGCTGGACGTACCAAAGCAGTAGAGTCCAACCGTAGTGTTTACATTTAGCATGAATCATTATCACATTACTGCATTACCACTGCCATGTAAAATATACAAATAACTAAATGACTGAATAAATAAACACAGTCAACGATGTTTTCTCGTTCCAGCCAACATGGCCCACCTCAGAGAGGCATTGGAATTGCTCACAGACACATTCAAAGAATACGCTGGAAGGGGTGGAGACAAAAACACTATGTCCAAAGCAGAAATTCGTGTCATGCTCCGAAAGGAGTTTCCCAATGCAGTAAGTAGAAAAGATATTTCTCTATCACAACAGTAAGCTGTAATTAACTCCCTGACATATTATGTTTGATATTTAACAATCAACTTACAACTGCTACTGTTTTTTTCTTTCTTAAGAACATGGACACAGCTGAAATGAAGCATTTCTTCAATAAGATGGATGCCGATGGTGATGGTGTTGTTTCTTTCAAAGAGTTTGTCCTTATTGTAAAAGACTTCAAACTGATTTACACTTAAGAATAAATGATTTGGCCACATTGCATCAGTGGCGGATGATGTTGGTGTAAACTGGCAAATAAATAACAGTGCCAGATTGCCTTGTCCTGCCTCATTTAATTTGTACTAAGTGGAAAAAATGCCTCAGTATTACAGTTAATTAATATATATCATTATATCTTTTAAAAAGTTAGAAATTAGTTAAACACATGCTGATTAATCATTGCTGGATGTTATATAGTGACTTAAAATGTGCTGACTGAACGTGTATCACTGATTCTGAATGTCAGAAGTGGTAAATTAAATAGTAGCTACAGCTGTGAGATAAAAGCAGTGGTGTAAAAATATTTTGGTCATTCTTGTTGTGCAGCAACATTTTGGTCTCATGACTTCTGAAAAAAGAGATGGAGTTTTCAAGTTTTTTGCATTTTAAAAGAATAGTGATTTATTTTATTTAGCCTTAACTCTGTGAGTGATCCAGATTTGACTAGCTAACCTTGTACATATGAACAGAATTTTTTATGTCAAGTATGTTTTTACATTATTTTTTCCCCTCATAATTGAGCCTGTTAGGGTGGAACGTTATGTGTGAGGCAAACAGACTGACATCATCACTTCCTGAAAATGATCTTACTGGAATTGTAGTCTTATTTGAGGAGTGATGCAAATAGCAATGGGTAAAAATGAGTGAGAATTTATGCTCACCCCATGTGATTCATTTGACTTCCCTCCAAAATAAACATGTCACTTCCCTTTTCTTCTTTTCTGGAAGTCCATAAAGTACTAATAGGGTAGAAAATTACTTAATGGACACACGTGAAATTAAAACAATTGTAAAATTTTAAAAAATTAATTAATTAAACAATGGTTCCACCTCAAATATATCAGTGCCAGCTGTTGACTCAAAAAACTGGAGAGGACATGAGAAAAACATCCCACAGCATCATGTTGTTTTACACTATTTGGCTACTTCTCATGTTCAACAAAAAAACGAGCAGTAAAACAATGGCTTACAGTTTCTTAAAAAACAATTGACCTTTCGCTAAGCCCCGCCACTTTGTGATGGTAAGCGTGGAGCCCAAACTGTAACTAACTGCACTCCCTGAAGAAATATTATCATATTTGTGGAAAAATGAAACAGTGATTGCAGAGAGAAGCAGACAGAGGGGTCTATAGTCTGTGTTTGAAGGATATATCCAGGATGTCAAACTGACTCAGCAGCAACAACAGGTTAAAAAGACAAAGATAGTTAGAAGCTAAAGCCTAACTATAGGCTACAGATCACAGTGTAAAAGTGAACCACTACATCACTGCTGATCGCCATACAAGACAATGAATATAAAGGGAAACTTTGCTGATACTGAACCAGCTGCTGTCAAACACTGTTCATCTGCACACACTGTGATGACACACAGCTGGTTGAATATCAGCAAAGTTTCCCTGCTTCCCTTCACTGGTTCCTGTACAGCAGGGTCGGTCTTTGTTTCACTGTTATAATCATTAAAAAGCAAAAGCAGCATGTGTATACATTCAGTAGGCTATATCTTCAGTAGCTAGCTAGCTAACCCTACACTTTTCAGGGTTTGATTTTGGTTTTGGAACAGGGAAGAAACCTCTCCAGGTAACGAGTATCATTAATACACGACGTGCCCCAGGCACAACATTTAGCTCCAAATCCACAAAACCAGCCTGAAAAGGAAGGAAATCTGAAACGACTGTATTAGAATCAATGGAGCACAGCTGTGTTGTTATCAGACCCTGGTCTGAGCCGGCCCCATGCTGTGTTATGATTGGCCGGTCTGCATCCGGGGGCAGGACTCAGCAAAGGGTCAATTACTGCTGGCTGCAGATGGGAATTAACCTTGTGTACACAATGTGTCACTGCAGCTCATATACCATATCATGATCAAGGCCCAGTGGAGGTGTGTGTGGCAGCACCATGGACACACCTGTCCCGTCATGGGTCAAGGCCAGACGGAGCTCTTCACGTGGTCCCCTGCAGTGTCTTGTTACTGCTACGACCCCCAGTCCAAATCCATTCTTACCATTAGCTTAACAGCCCTCCTGGGCTGCTACAAAAAGCTGACTGTTGTGTTGTCTGAAGCAGCTACTGCTCGATAAAAAAGTGATACATAAATCTGAAAAACAGAAATGGAGTAGTTAAGATTTTGCACATTATCATTTCTTTTCTGATATGCTATTGTATTAATCTATCATGTTATTATACTCATGTACAAAACAGTGGTAGCTAATTGAAAATGAACTTTGGGAATCATCATTGGACCAACGCAATGTAGTTGTTGACTGGGAGGATGTCTTCTGTTGCAGTATTTTTCATGTGTTTTCGCCAATAACAGATTAGCATGAAAACACAAGAAGTACACTGAGGTGATAAAACAGATCCTGCAGGAGGACAGCAGAAGCCTGTCCTTCCCTGCCCCTCACCACCACTTCACACCAAGGCTGTAGCCATGGAGTCAACATTGGGGGGGACCAAATCTGCATGCCCCCCCACCCCCTCAAACACACACCCTTACTTCCTGTCATTGAAATTCTAAAGTAAAATATGTACAAATTCACTAACACATGAGAAACGTTTCTTTTTTGCAAAACAATAACCATTCACAACATCAAAATTTCATAAGACTTTACAAAATCACAATAAACAGTTACAGTATAGCCTACGTAACGCTCATATTACATTCTCGTTTTCCACTTTTATTTAGTAATGAATAGAGAGACAAATTTACATGGCCTGTCAGGGACATTACCCATACAGCAGTCTGGCAACAACGTTGATGGCAACCATGGCAACCAGCCATGGCATTTGCTACAGCAACTCCACTTGGACAAACCACATGCAGAACTGCAATACTTGAACTGATAGTAATAATAATGGGGACTTGTTATGTTTAGTTATAATGATGATGATGACATTATGTCGGATGGTGGTATGTGGTTGCCTATCGTAGAATAGCAATGTTGTTGTTTTTCAGTTTCATGTTATATATTGGGGGGGGGACATTTTGGGCATGTATGAACATATAGTCCTGCTTCACACAGACTGCACTTTTCACTCTTGCTTGCCCTGTATATGTCCCTGTTGTAGTATCTCAATCTATTTTTTTTTTTTTTAGAGGACTGAAAAAATATTAAGAAATGATAGTGAAATTTGCCAATTCTGTATTCTAAACAATTAATCTTGTTTGAATTTGGATTTCTCTCTTCCCTTTAAAAATAGAGGAGGAGTGACCTCCTCTGCCTCTGTGGACCAGCCTCCTCTGGTGTTAATAATCAAAGAGTGTAACATGGCCTATAAAATATTTGAAGAATAAATTTTAATATTTTAATTTTCTGACTTATAGTTCTTGTACAAGTTGATTGCTTTGCGCTGGGGACATGGTGAAACTGAGCACTTGTACCAAAACAAGCTCAGTACAGTTCAATAAAGTGCATTATTCTCTCTAATAAAGAAGACCTTCCTCTGTAATTCAAGCCATTTGTTATGAGGTACTATTTTCTATCTCTGGATCACCACAATGTCATTATAGTTGCTGATGGTTAGGGAGGACGACCTCTGTTGCAGCATCATTCCCTTATCTGATTAACTAAAAGGACGTGATATTGATCACCGTTACATGCAACCATCTACTTGCATGAGAATTCCTATATGAACTGTAGCTTCCCAAAACTGGTATAACTGGTGTGAAAGGGCACTTATGTCAGAGGAAAAGCAGGACAGAGTACATTCCAGCATTGCTTTTTGACATTTTGTAGGAGGAAAGACAGAAAGAGGGGTGGGCGCTTTGAAAGAGGGTTTGTCAACCTGTATCTAAAAAGGTTTGTGTCCGTGCTGTCTTCACAAATCCCTCTCTGCCTCCATCTCAGCATCTTGAGGTTATCATACAATTTCGGTAAGTGGAAATATGTTTTAATTACAGCATTAACCATTTTGCAATTATCTAAATATCTGATACCTGATTTGTAGTAATACAGGGCATGACATGTATGAATGAGCTCTCGGATGTGGTTTGTGTACGTCTGAATATTAACATGTAAATCTATAGTAAGATTATGACAGTTCTAGTTGTAGTAGAGACAATCAAGATACTGATTGGAAATTGGTGAAGAAAGGCAACCAGGAATTCTGGGGAAAAAACAGTTAATAAGTGCACAGTGTGTGACAGCGGTAAAGCCACAGCCATTCACAAGAAACAACTTGCCTTTATTGGTTAATTACCACATCACTGCATTACCCCAGCCGTGAACATGAATAGATAAATAAACCATGATATACATAGTCTACACAATTTTTCTTTTTCCAGCCAACATGTCAAGGATCGCGGATGCAATGGATCTCCTCATGACCACCTTTCATAATTACACTGGACCACAAGGAAACTACATCACTTTGACCAAAAACGACTTCACCAAACTGCTCCATGAAGAGTTTCCTGAAGTAGTAAGTAGAAAAGATGTAACTATTGTGGCAGAGAGCTGTGGATGCCTTTCTGACACGTGTTCCATGTTTTACAATCTACTTACAACTTGGACTGTTTTTCTTTCTTTCTTTAGGACTACAGCTCAGATGATATGGAGAGTTTCTTCAGCAAGCTGGATGCCAATGGTGACAATGCTGTTTCTTTCAAAGAGTTTGTTGACATTATCACAGAGTTCGACCTGATATGCACCAGCAAATGAACGATTTGGCCACATTGCCTTCGGGCTGGCACTGAAGAGTGACAGCGGTCGTTTTGTAACAGCGCTAGTTAAGCTAATGTAACAGTGCTCACTGTGATGTGAACTGGCAAATAAACAATTTGGCCATGTTGCTTCAGAACTTTCTTGTCTTATTTAATTTGTACTAAATGGAAAAAATAAAAACAGCGTGATCAAACTTGTCACTATATTACAGTCAATCAATATACATGTCATTATCATGTGTTCAAAGAAGGGAAAACCTTAAACACAGTCAGATGAATCATAGATGGCTTATTATATATTAGCAACTTAAACTGTGCTGACTTTGATCATATATCACTGATTCTGAATGTCAGAAGTGACAGATTAAAAAAGTAGCAGTGTAAAAAGCTATTTT